GTGTGGTTTTATTGTATTTATTAGTTTATGGGTGAAAGGATAGCTGTCATCAGGCATTTAGTGCTGATGAAATCAGCCCATAACACTGAACGATGGAGTGTTTGCTCACCTGTCAAATAACAGACTTAATCTCTGCAATATGTGTCAACATCAGCTGGCCACTCGTGATAAACAGACGTTACATTCAAAAATTCGTATCTATTACTTTCTGGAAAAGAGAAATTTGGTGATAACACTTTTATTCTTATGAAAATAAGAGTGGAATTGTGTATTTGTGTTTTGCACATTTTCTTGCCAAAGTTGTTTACAAGAATGTGTTCCTCATATCAGTGCCAATTACCAGAACATGCAGTTAAGAATAAGTCAAGTGTGAAGGGTGTGCCTCAAGAACCAGACGGAACATCAAGAACATGCACTGTTGCTTGAAAGTGCAAATAATAGTGATGGAAGAGCAATGTTAGTCAGGAGAGCTGGAAATGTGAGGTTGATAACTTGATAAGACTGCTGTATGTTTGTTGAATCTACACCTTTTTTAAAAATTAGTTCCATTTAGTTTCACGTTTTAGTCCTGCACGCTTTAGACACTGCACCAGTGTCTAAAACGTTGTTTGTTGTTGTTGTTGTTGAAAGTCTCTCCCGATAGCAATCACTAAGTTAAGTGGTCTAAATGTATTTATATGTATTCATATTGTCTGTGGAAGGCGTAGGACCATAAAATGTTTGTCAAATCCTAACCCTTAGTCCAAGGGCTACAACAGGCTGTCCTACCTGCCTATCAACGCATGTATTTGCATACTTCCTCACACCCTGTTCGCACAGACATGATACATGATACATCAATGTGTTCCATTTAGCTCCTGTAGACCAAGTAAGAATGGAAGGCATTATTATTGTAATATTATGCACTTTGTACTGTAATGATTTTTTCTCCAGTGATTGAGACATGAGGTAATCTGACAGCGTTGCATTCAACCCTTGCCCAATGTCGTCTCTCATCGTGTTGCTGGTTAGCCTCTGGCCTGCCTGAGCGCGTTCATGTGTTTTGGAGGAGGTGTGGCTTTGGAGACTGATTATTCAGGTAGGGTGAGATCTTATGCTTTAAAAGATAGCTTGCCATTGCTAGCCTCTCCGAAATCGCCTACCAGCTAGTGGTTAAAATGGGAACTGCAGTCCAAATCCAAAATATTGGAGAGCTTCTCCCACCCTTCCACCTCAGGCCTTGATGCTCATGCTGGTTGCCAGATGCAAGTGAAACTGAAAATGCTAGCCAATGAGCCCTACAGTGTAAGGTGTAAGTTGTTTTATCAGTGTTTAATATGTACTTGTTCACAGACCGCGATACCATTCGGTACAGAAATTTAAAAAACATCCATTTCCTGCTAAGATTTGAGCGTTGTTGAGCGATGATCATTGTAGCCAATCACAGTCATATCTGTTGAGCGCGTGAACACAGTGACCAATCAGCGCTGTTTAAGAATCTGCTCAACACCGCTCACTAGACCAGAGCTTGTTAGATGGATGCTGAGACTTTTTAGGAATCAGAATTTGCAGAATTTGAGAATTTGCCATCTCTGACTCAGGTCATTTGCTGGCTTCAGTGGCTGCAATATGCTGTATTTTCTGCCAACTGGCAACCTGGAATGTTGAACTCCTATTGGGTACACTGAAAATCACGCAGACCAAACCAAAAACAGACATTCTGACACAAAATGCACATTTCAAAGCCGAATAACTGGCTGTAGCGTTGTTTTTCAGAGAAACAAATATGTGAACTTAGCATTTTTCCTAAATATCTGCAAACATATTGCAGTAATTTTATGCTTTAGTACAGTCAAGTACAGTACTGTCCGACTGTGACGTAATGTGGCTTTGACTGTTGGGTCAAAGGTGCATAACAGCCACATAGGGGGAAACCCTACTTCTGAAACTTAAAATGAGCAATGGGACAACCATGCTCCTGGAGAGCTACCATACTGCAGAGTTAAGCTCCAAGCCCAATCAAACACACATTAACAAGCTAATCACAGTTTTCAGAGTTAGCTCTAAATTACAGGCAGGTGTGTTGGAACAGGGCTGGAACTGACGTCTGCAGCAAGCTATCTCTCTATGAGGAGGGTTGGAGACCCCTGCATTGCAGTCCTGTGGACTTCATGGACATGCACATATATACAACAGCCATTATTAGTCAGCAAGACCCCAAGTGCGAAGTTTGCCATCTGGCACAGGGCCAAAGCTCAGTTTCATCCAGCATGTATACAAGTTGAATTGTACTCCAAGCAACCTCGCCATTGAATGTGACAAACAATGTGTATTTCATCCTTCAAATATTAGATTTCTTAGACAAGGGGTGTCAAATCCTGCTCTTGAAGGGCCACTGTTCTGCAGAGTTTAGCTCCAGTCTTAAATAAATACACTTGAACCAGCTAATCAAGGTCTTTAGGATTACTCTGCAAATGATTCTAAATGCAGCAGCACGTCTTGTTTTCAATTAGCCCAAGAGAGCCCATGTCACACCGCTTCTCATCTCTCTGCACTGGCTACCAGTTGCGGCTCGCATCAAGTTCATCATTGGTGCTTGCCAACAGAACAGCCACGGGCTCCGCACCCTCCTACCTCCGCTCTCTCCTAAGCATCTACATCCCCTCCAGAAGTAGGTAAACGAGCGGCGGCTTGTCCCATTGCAGAGAGGCACAAAATCACTCTCCAGGACATTATCTTTCACCTTCCCCTGTTGGTGGAATTACCTACCTAACTCCAAATTCTATGCCTTCACCTTTTCTGTTCTCTTACTATCCTTATCCCTAGCTTTGAACTATTTTGAATGATGACTGAAACCTTGTATAACGGGCACTTCTTGTGTTTAATGCCATCTTATGGTAAATCGCTTGTAAATCCTCAATTGTAAGTCGCTTTGGATAAAAGCATCTGCCAAATGAATAAATGTAAATGTAATGTTAACGTACTAGAAACTTCCAGGTAAGTGTGTTGTGGCAGGTTAGAGCTAAACTCTGCAGGACTTAAACTCTATCCCTCCAGGAGCAAGATTGGAAACCCTTGACCTAGACAGATGACTGTAGCTCTACTTCGCAAAACATGCTGTTGCTCACTTAGAACTCTGCATGTTAATATAAGTATAAGCCCGAAGTATACTTTTGCGCCATCTCACGGACAATGTGTCTGACATCATTTTTGGCATCAGCATAGTCTGTTGATGTCCATGCAGACCAATTAATCTAGCCGAGTAAACTTGAAGAGTCCACTGTAGTGTGCATGCATCTTCAACTTGAGAATATTGCGGAGCAAGTTAAGTTTTCAACAGGTATTTAGTTACTTGACACTACAGCTCAGACTTTTGAAGGAAACTTTATCTTTCCATTTGAATACTGGGGTTTGTTACTGCAACACTAACACAACAACATATGTAACAAGACCACACACTTGCAATGCACTGGCCAAGCCTTAATGACTGCTGTCGCATACTTGTGTAGAGTGTTTTTGATTTTAGTTTGAGTGTGAAATATATTACTGGTGAGTCATCTATGTTCTGTTAGTGTCTGGGAGTTCATAGATGAACTGGTTGTCATGTGGACAGATGGGAGAGGGTGGCGAGTTGATTCAAGTATATTTATCGGCTTGGGTGTAGGCTACTGTTTGATGAAGGATTGAAAGTACCAGAGTTAATGCCATTGGAATTGTCTTGAAGTTGATTCTGGCAGTCAGTGCAGTTGAGGTATAACATAAGAGAGTTTGCAGTGGTCAAACACGGGTTGTTTTGAGGCATTGAGGGAATGTGGCAGATACACATGAAGAAGGAATAGAGCTTGTAGAAGAGGCCAGTTGACTGAATCTTCTACGTTGTGGAGCATGAATTAGCAGAACCCAACAGGTTTCTTCTATTAAGCATTAAGTCGTATTGAGAAAGTGGAGTTCAGGGTGGATGTTGTTATCTGCAGATATTGGAGTAAAAAAACTGAGGTGAAACAGTAGACCATTCTTGTGACGTCAGAAGCAGGGATCAAAATTAAGGTTTGACAAATCAAAATTAGCTTCAGTAAGTCAAGTTGGCTAAAACGTCTGTTGTGAGCCGTTTGCATAAAAGCAACTGCCAAACAAATAACTTAAATATCATTAAAATATATTTACCAGGTAAACTGCAGACTAATAAAGCAAAGAATTATTTGTGGTCCCTAGTAAGAAGGAGCTAGAGGAGCTGGTGTTTAAGAAATTGTGGTAGTGATTGTTTGACACTGTGGTATTGACATACTGTATCAAGATAATCAGTAAGATAATGCGCTACAGTCCATTGTAAATAGAAGTGATCTCTATAACACTTGTAGGAGAGAGAGAGCAGCTGAAGGAGATGATGTAAGCTCAGAGTGTCTATATGAATGTTAAAATCACCAAGATGGGTGTTGGGGAAACTTCTCTAAAGTTTGTTTCAACATTTGGTCAAAAATGAAGAATGGAGTTACACAGCATTTCCTGTTTAACGGAAATGAAGCCATCATGGTTTTTCATGGTTTAATGCCTATTATCTATATTTTACATTATCGCACATTATTTTTTCTCTTTTTAATTAAGCCAGCTTCTAATAATAAATTAGATCATTTCTTTAAATTACCTTATTGTGATTACAACCAAAGAATTAAATTAGGCATATAGATCATATGAGAAGCCAAAAAGCATTTACAATGTTACAAACCAAAAAAAAGAACAAGAAAGAAAAAAAAAACTCACTCACCCCTATCTATTTGTTTGAGGTCAAAAACCTTTTAAATGAAATGTTAGAATTACAGAGAAAAAGAAAAAAAACAGTTGTAGTGACTGTTAAATGATCAAAGGCTACAGACGTGTACTCTGAAATTTCTCTAAATTAGGCAAAATATTTAAAATGACAAAGGTCTAACTGAGCAAGTAAGAAGGTTATATCAATATATTGATGCATCATTGAGAACTTACATCAACTCAAATATCAGATGATGACACGCATTCAAAATTTAGCTTTTTATTGAACAACCAAAGCAGCATATTTACACAAATGTATCTGCATTGTACAAATGCTTCATCTGTTTTGGGCATCCCAGTCACTTGCTAACAAATCCTAAAGTGCATTTCACAAGGCCAAATCTTGTTCTTTTATAACTCTTCACATTCTAGGCATTATTTATTTTAGAGTTAAATGGCTAAATGCAAGTTTGCCATTACTCTTCTAAAAGTAAGTTTAACTCCTGCTATTAGATACTTCTCAACTGATTTGATTTTGCATCAATCTCTAACTGTTGTTTATAACCGATTTATGGAACTGAGTAGTGCATAGTGAACGTTATACACTTTACATATTTAAAAATGGGATTATGAATGTAGTAACAGTCTGTGCGCTGTGAGATAAAATTCAGCATACACACAATTCTGTACCACCGATGGTGATTGAAAATATCTGGTTCAGAGGAAACTGATTTAAAACAATCATCAAATCAAAACATATTCTCAAAAAGAAGCGTTTACAAGTCAAACGCAAGTTTAACACTGCTTTGGTGTACATGCATTAGTCAACACCGTAGCATATTAGTCATACACATTTTATTACCGCCACTGTTGAGCCTAGTTAGGCAAAATAGCGTTATGACCTGATGTTGCTTCATACAGTGTAGCACTACAAATGTGCTCAGAATCCACTCTAACATAGAGCACGACCACAGTAACCATGAGTGCAGCAAGCCACACCACATGAAACTGTCAACACACAAGGGTAAAAAACAACGACAGGGGTACGTAAATGTACCCCTTAAGAACTGTATAAAAGTCCCACCACAGATGCCGCTGTTTCTGTCTGCAACATATTTTTGCTTGGTGGTTACACTAACAGAGGGACTGCTGGCTGAAATGAATTGAAATGAGATGAAAACCCCTCCACCTACAGCTTTCTGGAGATGCCATAAAGGTCTGCCATTCACAAGACTTGAAAAGTGCACTTGTCGTACATAAGGAACAGTCACATACTTGCCAGAGTTCAGGATCATTCGACTATTTTTTTAAGGCTTTCAACCGAGAGTGATCGAGTGCAGTGGAATTAGTCAGATTTGGCAGTGTCAAACTTTGGGATCAGGGCCGTCCTTAGGGGGGTGCAACTGGTGCGGTCGCACCGGGCCCCATGGCGAACGGACCGAGGGGGGCCCCGCTCTCTACCTCGCACCGGGCCCCGCATCAGCTAAGGACGGCCCTGTCTGGGATTAAGGAAATATGAAGAATGGAAAAATACAGGAATACTGTAACCTCTAGAAAGAATGGGAAATCAAACAGTCCAAACTTGATAGAAATGGCCAGTTTTGTGAAGTCAAACTATAAAAGTTCCGTCATGATGTTCTTTTTTCAAGGAACACAATGGAAATTTCAGTGTTTTGGTGAATTTTCAGTTAATAATGTTTAAAGGGATATTTTACACAAATGAAAATTCTGTCATCATCTACTCGTTCCAAACCTGGATGACTTTCCTTCCTCTTTGGAACACAAGTTGATATTTTTGAAAAATGTCTTATCCATATTTCTTGGACCCAGTGGACTTTCATTGTATAGACAAAAACTTAGAAAGTTATACACGTTTGGAATGATTTTAATTGTTGGGTGAACCATCCCTCAGAAATTATAGAAATGATTCTCTTCACAAAAAGTTGTTGTATGGCTTCAGAAGAATTTTATGGTGTGTTTTTGGAGCTTGACTGCCATTGTCACTAAAAACTGTCAATGTATGGAAAAGAACAACAGGAAGATTCTTCAAAAGTTTTCTTTTTGTGTTTCACGGAAAAAAATAACAGCACACAAATTGAGAATGATGGGGGTGAGCAAATGATGACAGAATTTTTGCTAGTCCTTTTAACACTTGACACTTTAACACTTACAACCCTGTAAGTGGGAAAAAAATTAACACTTTAAAATGTCCTCAGTAAACTGAGAAATCAACAGTCCAGGAAAAGGTACTCCCTTTAGAAAGTAGCTTCTTGGAGCGGAAACAAACGTTCAATATAGAGTTGTCACTTTGGCTGAAAAGAGAACAGTGGAATAGTGTCTTTATTCCAACATCTGGAGATGATCGTGGACGTTGGCGATGTGCATAGGGGGTTTCTGGAATGAGAAGATCAGGAGAGAAGGAGGACTCTCCCCTGATGGGGCTGTCTCTAGGAGTTTTGCAGAAGGCGTCTATAATGGGGCATGACTTCATGCTCTGGAAGATGCAGGTTGAACTCTAGAGCCACGAGAACGGGGAACTCAAAGGCTATCAGCTCTCGACGGTTCACCCTAAACCTCTCCTCCAGTTTCTAAAGCGAAAGAGATCAAGAGTTCTCATTATATAACAGCAATTAAAAGACCATCGTTACACAACACAGAAACATTCAAAAATACAGAGTAATGAGATTTAAAGAATGCTCCTTTTGTCAGATGTGCCACTATAGCCACGCTTGTTATTCAGAGACAAAGCATCAATCTCAAGGACTGTTGAGTAAATAACATCTGTTTAGTAGCTGTGGTCGCAAGCCCTCAATTTGGGACCTTCAGGTAAGGAGCTAAAAGAGTCAGTGTGCAAAGATAAACTCACATCAATCAGAAGCTTGACCTCGTGTTTCTTTAAGTCTCCTCCGATCTTGGCTGCGAGGAGGACGCAGGCCCCCGTGCAGAGTTTGCGGTTCTGTTTGTTGAGTTTACCCTGGAGCACCAGCTTCTCAAAGTAAACGAAGGCCATGGCCACCGTGGACTCCTCGTAGCCACACTCCTCCTGAGCTAGTTTACGGATCTCTCTCTTCAGGCTAGAACAATACAAAAGGCCACGACCATCAGTACTCGGGTTACTCAGATGTTATGGAATATTGTAAATATTTATAAAAGGCTTGTCACAAGTCCTTGTACACACTTGTACAGTAAATACATCAAAAACAATTAGCTGAAACCCTTGATATCATCCAGTTCATTCTACCTTTTCTACTTAGCAGCTCATAAGAAATCAAGAGCCAGTTTATAAAACCACAATCTGCTTTGTTTAGCTGGCAAACATTTTTGGTATTCACACTCGCTGCATGTGAAAAATTTGGCCATTGGTTGGGTTTGATTCCAAATTACACCCAATCTTAACTCTGCAAAAGTATTAAGACCTGTGTTAAGTATTAAATCCTGATTGAATAACTGAATTATTTCAATTCTTCACTGCTTTCCAATGATTGGAAATGTGATGTCAGAAAACAACATTTGGTTGTTTCAGATATTGTAGGATATGTAGAAATGATGTAACATTTATGTAATCTGAAAGATCCTTTTGAATTATTTTTAACCAGAACTACATTTTGAGTGTTATGTTTTATTCTACTCCAAAACATTGCCGAGATATGATTTATTTATTTATTGAGAAAATGTATTTAATTTATTTGACAGATTTATTCAAACATTAAGACTATAAATATTTGATTATTAACTTACTTCACACCACATTAAAAAGCAATAAAACAACATGAATTGTTTGAATTTCCAAATACAATATTGTACGATAAAAAACATAAAACAGAATCCAAAATTGCTTTGCTTAAAAACCACATTTCTCAATAAATGGCTCTTTATGACATCCATCTCAAAACGATATTGCATGTCACACAGTATTAACTAGATTTAAAAAATGCCAGTGTTATTTGGCCATGAAAATACCTGCTGTTGTGATGCAAGGGTTTTGTGTACATTACTGCCAAATTTAAATACTTGGCATTAAATGTTTAGCATGTAGACTGCTTTATCAACATAAGAAGAACTGGATAGCAACATTCGTACCTTCTGATCTTACTCAGTGTTAGACGAATGTGAGGAAACTTCTCCTTGAAAGTCTCATTCATGTCCTTCTTGAGATCAGAAGGTTTGACATACTCGATGACTGTGGTCTGGAAAAAAGTGGGGATATTCATTGAGACACACATATGAGTACAGACGTATCACAAGGGTTTTCCACTGGGTCACTGAAACATTTCCCAGTTTCAAAGCACAGGGACTGGATTTTTTTCTTGGTCAAGCTCAATCGAGCTCCTAGAGTTACACTTTAATGCTTACAATAATCATAACTTTGAAATAATGGATGTTTATTGTTGCATATGAGATAATAATACAAATGTCCGGGGCTTTGTACTTTTATCCCAAAATCATGTGCATGGAAACTGGAAGTCAATTCTTTTATACATTCTTGCTGGTAACTTTCCTTCACAGAACACAATAGTGATTGTTACAAGCATTGCATAACCAATAGAAGGAAGGGGAAGGCTGTCTCCTGAACCGTCTGAGTTTTGAGTTCAAGTACGTGTCCACTACACAATGCTAAAACAAAAACAGAGCCGAATAGGAAATGAACATGGTTTTCTGTTATGTAAGCATGATAAAATCACTTTCAGACGCTAGCTGCTATTTGAAAAAAGTAATTACAGTTGCCAACAACAGAAACAAAGAGGATAAAAGAGAAAAATATATATAATGAAGACAAACAAAGGCATAGTGTTTCTTCCAGTGTTTGGAAGACAAGCATTTTTCAAGGTCACCAGTCTGGTATTTCTGCTACACAATGTTCATTACTAATTAACTGACAACTAGGGACTCAAGTTCACACTGTAAATGTGTCTGTAACAGTAAAAAATAAAAGTCACATCACTGAGTGACACATGTAACATGCCCTGTCTTTTTTTTTTTGAAGTACTCCATAGGAAAAAAATATCCCAAGCATACAACATACTTTGTATCTCAATAGTCTCCTGCTTCTCAGAATTGTTTCTCTTGAGAAAAAGACCCGGGTCATCTCATATGTGTTTCTAGTTTCAGATAAGATCTCAGTGGTCTCAAACTGTGCTCTGATCTGATACCAAACGCTGCGATCAAAAGCCAGCCATCCTAATATGAACTTACTGAAAATATTTTGCATCAAATTCACATTTTCTCAGCTATGTTATCCATATTCGTTTAATATTTCTATATGTATATCAACATTTGTTTCTATTTTCATGTATTCCAATTCGTTTTAAACATCTGAAATAAAGAAAATAAAAAAAATTAAAGTGTATTTTTAGGGCTGTCAAATGTTTATGTAAAATATTTAGTAAATATGTGTAACATTTTAACACACTCCCTAGAACATTATTAATTTGAATAATAATTAAAATCTGAATTAAAAAAGTATATGTTCATGTTTATACATTATTTTCATAGTAATAAGAAAGACATAAAAATACGCAAAAATATATGCTGTTAACTTAATGTCTTTGCCTTTTGTACAAATAAATACTAAACAGCATAAATGAATCTACATACATGAAATTTAGCTCTATTTATATTTTTAGGAAAGGGGTCTGTTGCAAAGGGATCATCATATTCAGGGGTCCTTGGCATCAAAACTTTTTTTTTTAAATTTGTTAAAGGGGGTCATATGATGTTGCTAAAAAGAACATCATTTTGTATATTTGGTGTAATGAAATGTGTTTATGTGGCTTAGGGTAAAAAAAAAACACATTATTTTCCACATACTGTACATTATTGTTTCTCCTCTATGCCCCGCCTTTCTGAAACACGTCGATTTTTACAAAGCTCATCGTTCTGAAAAGCGAGGTGTGCTCTAATTGGCCAGCTATCCAGTGCATTGTGATTGGCCGAATACCTCAAATGTGTGACGGAAATGTTACGCCCCTTACCATACTGTGATGCCGTGTGTGCGACGAGTGCCTGTGCGCTGGTGATGTGCCCCGAGACAAAACCAGTAAAACCCATTATAATCTAGGCATCTGCTGCATCCAGTGGGGACATAATTACTGATTATAATGACTTATATTGTCTTTTTACGCGTTGCGTTGCGTATCGCGCTGCGTAAACATAAAACCATGTCTGCATTTGTGATCGGAGAAACGACAAATAAGTGCTACTCTACACTGCTCAAAACTCACGTTTGAATCGTCAGTGGCAAATTCTTTAAATATAAAAAGTACTTACAGGCTGTGAGTCATGAAGCGCCAGACTGTCCTTGCAAAGTTGGAATTGCCCCACTTTATAGAAACATACACCGGCATTATAGGCTATACTCTCCCAGGAAACAGTCCTCGTCCTCCATAAAATGCGCTGCACACATCTGAATATTTGGGTTAAACTGTTCTGGAACAGTGTTGTAAATACAACTTAACCACTGATTTCTAGTCGTGTCCTCTTTTGGAAGGCCAAACAAAGTAGTTTCTCTTTCATAACGAAACGCACAGCGTCTCCACAACATGGCAGTGGTGGCAACAATACTACAGCGAGAATCAAAGTTACACCTTCTTTCTTTGCGTGAACATTTTGGCGGCGTTATGAAAATCTTCCCACATTGTGATGTAGACATGTGGGGGCGTGTTAGAACGAGTCCTTTTAGGTAGGCGTGGTTGACTCTTAACTTTTATAAAGAATATCTCTTTGGATTTGAGACTTTAGTCTTTGCTACTTTACAGATCTTCTTTATGCAACAACCGCTTGTAACACTCCAAAGAGAAAGGAAAAATTGAAATTGCATCATATGACCCCTTTAATACAAATCACTTGTGAATCGGTCAAGTCTTGCATTGTGTTACGTGATACCTCACCATGTATGAAGGAAAGATAAGCACTCTTTTGTGCTTTCCACACGGCCATTGCGGGTCATCCAGAAGATTGGGGTCGTACTCCCTGAAATCTCCCAGTTCATTCCCTATGAGAAAAGAGAGGGCAAATAAACAGACTTTACATGTGCTGAGATCACATAATACTCAAAATAAATATCCTACTTAATAAATATATAGTTCTACATTCAGAAAAGCAATTGTATGGTAAGCATTTTGTACCAAGAAGTTTATGACCTTGCTCAAGTCTGCTTAATAAATAACACATTATTAAACCAAACTGCTCATTAAAACCAAACAAGCGGCCCCTTGTCGGGACGTATTAGGGAGATTGAGGCTAAATGAAAGAGCCGTGACAAGTTGTTGGCACACGCACCGGTATCAAGGCTACTCTGGTTACTGTTGGCACGTGCCAGGCTGAGGCTCCGGTGGCTGGCATTGCGAGACTGAGAGAAAGACGACGTGGAGTCGATGGTGTTTCGACGACCCAGAGCATTGGTTGGATAAAGGAACTGTGTGTATGACACTGTCTGTGTAGACATTTACAGAAACTGTAGTCAAATGCTCATCAAGATTAAAGATTTTCTTTCATAACACTGGAGAAAATTGACTAGCCACAAAAGTTGCCATAAAATTGATATACAAACAAAGGAAGGTGAAAACAGAGATTGTACAGATTTTGCAATAAAAAAGTAAAACATCTGTAATTAATAACACTAAAGAAACAAGGTGTACACTCACCTTGCCATCTGCACCCAATTCAACACCATCCAGGCCGATCACCATCTCCTTGGCACTCATGCCACCCGAGGGGTGTCGCTGGCGTCCACTTTCTGCCTTCACATCCCTGCTGGGGCAAGAGAACATCTCAGAGTCCCTCCATAGACAGCAGTCTGTACTGGCAAACATACTTAACCTGCTGCTAAACCATTTGCCACCATAACCTGCTGTGCTCACTGCTTGGCTGTTTTTTTTTTTTTTAATTCAGCTTAAGAAGTATTTGAAATTACGTGTAACATTTTAAATGTTTGGCTTTAAGAGGAAGACAAAAAAGAAACATGAATTTAGCTTAATATTAATATATCTTTTTTATACACTTACACAATGAACTCTAATGTAATAAATGTTATTTTAAAACATTATTTACGGAATTAAATGTATGTATAAATAATGCATCATAAAATTATAGTGTGGAGAACATCAAACAAATGAATTGCAATATTACTATCTCATGCCCCAAGAATCAAGGTGAACGGATAGATGGCTAATATAGCACATATAGGTTATTTTCAGGGTCCAGGAATAATAAAAATAAAGCAATCAGTCTCTCACATGACAAGAAGAATTTAGGGAATTCTTTTTAATTTCCTGCAAAAACGAATGCAAGTCTTTTTTTTTTTTAAGATTGCATCACAGCTGTATTAAATTTCAAAACATTATGACAGGTTTCATTCATGTTACGAGGGTTATTTTCGTCAACTAAAGTTAAACTAAGACTAAAACCATTAAAAAAAATCATTATTTGAAACAAAATAAACATTAACTGAAATAAAATATTTGATAAAAACAAAAAAAAACAAATGAGAAATGTTGCCTTGCCAGCTTGCTGAAATAATGTTTAAGTACTAAAAATAAAATAATAATTCCAATATTCCAATTAGTTTTAAACATCTGAAATAAAGAAAATAAAAAATAAAATGGTTACTTTACACTCTCTAGCCTTCAGTTAGCTTCACATAGCTAAAAAGAAATTGTCTACAAAACTGTTAGTAGCACCCAATTAGTATACTAATTGTAAATGCAAAAGTGTTTTAGTCATTTAACAAGTTTTTCTCATTGATGCAACTTATTTATCTAAATTAATTCTGCTAACATCATGATTTGTTTGCAGTGTACTTGAGGACTTATGATTATATGAACCAGAAATACAAACAATATTATCTAGATCATCTGTAAATAATGTTGACATTTTGTCAATGCATAAAGGATTACTAGAGTGGAGAAACAAAACACAAAAATTAACACTGAAGAACTAATAACCAGGTATAGTGGCCACTTTAATTTGGCTGCTTGTATACCAAATAAATTTAAGACCAAAAATACTACAGCATAACTAACTTATTCATGTGCAGACTTAGAAGCAGACTCTTATTACAGAAAACAGACAGAACTTAGCATTAGCACAGAGTCTTTTTGAGATGTTTAGTGATGCATCAATAATCTCAGATCCCATGAGGATAGACAGCAGTTATAGGTAATATGCACAGGAGCCCTTCAAACAGCTTGGTGAATGGAAAAGCATTAGGCAAGAACTAATAGGAACAGGTGCCCTTGAGAGTTTCCAAATAAATATTTAAAAAACAAAACCAGATTTTCAGTAGGAGTTCATGGCAACTCCTAGATCCACTGTGTATAGCTAATCATCAGTTCACCTGACTCGTTCCTTCAGTTTGCTGACATAAACCATGTGTGTTTTGGTTGGTTAGCACTCAATCAGGAATACAGAAGCATCTAATACTCTTCGGCCATTGGTGGCGCTGATGCTAGCAGAACATGTCCATAAACTTGGCACTCTATCCAGGACAACCCCACTTAGATTGCTCTGTCAATACTGTGCACTTTACTGCCAATCAGCCAAGCCAAAACATCAATGGAATAAATCATGCTGAATTTTGCCATGAGCTATTCATCATACTGAATGCATAACTAAGCAGACTCAGTTATATAATACTATATACAAGGGGGTCCAAATGTTGGCGATCACATTAAAAACAAAGCAGCATTCAGCATTTCAAGGTCAAATTTAATCAACCACAAACATTCTAATCAAAATATCCAAATCAGTTTTTCTCCATGTTAACCCTTTGTACAAAAAGTCAGGGGCCAGTTGCATAAACTTAGCCACCATGCTAAGACTGTCTTAAAGGAACACTCTGCTATTTTTTTTTAAATAGGCTCATTTTCCAACTCCCCTAGAGTTGAACAGTTGAATTTGACCGTTTTCGAATCCATTCAGCCGATCTCCGGGTCTGGCGGTAGCACTTTTAGCTGTAGCTTAGCATAGATCATTGAATCTGATTAGACCGTTAGCATCTCGCTCAAAAATTACCAAAGAGTTTCTATATTTTTCCTATTTAAAACTTGACTCTTCTGTAGTTACATCGTGAAAATGAAAAGATGCGATTTTTTAGGCCGATATGGCTAGGAACTATACTCTCATTCCTACTGGTATCGGTATCGGGCCCGATACTGGTCTCCTGTACTCGTACTCGTTAAAATGCCCCCATACCAAACGCCGATACCACACAGCATGTGATAAGCGCCATATTCAAACAAAGAAACACCGACAACAGAACAACAGAGAGCAGGAAGGAGTTAAGGATGTCTACTACGAAGTATATGTATGCAATGAATATTAATATTAGTATAGTTAAACATTCAGTATTAACGCCTGTATAGCTGAGTGGATTGAACGTGCGGCGGCGCAGATGCGCAAGCTTGTCGAATTAATATATCTTTCTCACAGACATCACTGGAAAGTTTGTAGTTTGGTCGGATATGTAAAAAACAAGTAAAACAATGCACAAGTTACTTAACGGTAGGAAGAGAGAGAGCGCGAGAGCAAGAGAGAGCGCGCGCAATTCTGTTGTGTGATCTCTGATGTTCACTCACTTAGCACACGCATCATTTGGATTAAAACTAAATCGTAAAAATAAGACCATTTATAGGGGCATTCACTATAAACAATTTAATTTCAACCTTAGGCATACACGACTTTCTGGCGAAAGTGAAACAAGCAGCTTGTGTGAAATGCGCTAGGCTGTACTATTCTGCATCAGTACAAATACGTGCATGCGTTGCATGTGTTTTGCTTGCTTGAGTGTTTCTGCATTATATGAGTGGCTTTAGAATATAAATCCCAGCACGTTTCAGATGAAAAACGCGACTTCTATTTCTGAAAATATCACAGTTAGGAGATTTATAACGAGTGGGTCCCTACATTATTACAGCAAAGCGCGTGATTACAGTACTAAGCCGCTGCAATGGAGCAGCTCCAATGCTATTAAATTAAAGATGATGTACCATAGAGCAAAAAAATGAACAGTGAAAGTAACAAAAACTTGTAAAATACATTTTAATGGGCATAATTAAGTGTGAAAATAACCGAAGGATATACAGTGAAACCAAAAATTATTCAGAGACCAGATATCATTTTTTATTTTTTTACTAGTGGGTGCAGGACACTATAGTTCATTTATGTAAGTGAGGATAGCAAAATAAAGTAAACTGTGACAAATCATAACCAAAAATTCTTCATACAGTGGACTACCAGTAAAACTTATACAAATTTGGGTCCAAAAATTACTCAGAACAAAAAAAAATGAAGTTGAGGTTTGCATGAACCTTGCTGACAGCATGCCCAAAAGACTACAGGCTGTCATTAAGGCTAAAGGTTGCCCGACTAAGCATTGATAGTTGTGTAAATACTGTCATACTAACAGCTGTCCGAATCATTTTTGGTCGATTGTAATCTATTACATACCTTTCTATCAAAATTATCTGACATTATCAAGATGAATTTTTTCTGACACTGAAACTCGGAGTTCTTGTCATATTTTATTACCATTTTCTAAACTATAGCGAATAAACTGTGATAGTGTGAGAAATGTTGAATGTGTCTGAATACATTTTGGTTTGACTATCTATTTGATAAATTAAATTAACCAACTAACATTATACATACTCTTTTGGTTTCTGTACCCGATATGTAAAAAATTTACAAATGCAATAGAAATATCGGTATCGGCAAGTACCAAAAATAAAAGTATCGGTATCGGGCGAGTACTGGAAAAAGTGGTATCGGTGCATCCCTAACAAATAAGACCAATCTACATTTTCATAACTGAATTAAAAAAAGTTATGACCAGTCTTGAAGAAAAACAATTAGATGACTAACTTTTTAAGACTAGTCTAAACAGATAATGCAACCGGCCCCTAATTCCCTTTCTTCCATTGGAATATTAACAAATCAAGACGGACAACATGGATCACTAAGTGTTGAAGTTCATGTCAGCTCTGCTGTCACTGAAACAAAAGATGGACTAACCAAAAAAGTAATTTTGACATTCATGTTCATTCTTGAATGTACTTAAGAATCATTAAACCAATAATACACCTAGTGAGGAAGACATTCATATTAAATAATGCAAATTGCAAACTAATGCATTTTCACTTGTGGTCTGAGACTTTTTATCCATATATACCATACATTATAATACAGAGAGGCTTTTATCTCTACAAGGCTTTTATCAGCTTTCCAATAGTGCCTCAATAAATGCAAGTATAGCAATAAAAAGGACATTTAAATGGATTTAACGCTGCCCTTTGTCCAGTTAATATACGGTTTCACAATCTGTATCACAAATTATTCACATGTTGTTTCTGTTAAACCATTAATACTAAGACTTTTTTTTGTGGTGAATAGAATCATGGAATGTTCAGTATTAAGTCATTAATAAAGATTCAGCAGGACTCAAAGTCTACACCATCCCCCACAGAACCTAATCTCAGATAGTAATAAATCCAATGATTGAGATTCCCTCAAGTTGCTATCATTAAAAACAACCCAACAACCCAACAAAGAGTCTCCACTCTTATGCTCAAAGCAAGTTGAACTGTTTAAATAGAATTTTTACTCCGTAAATAGAAATTTAAGTAGGCCTCAACTCTAAAAAGTAAAAACTGTGTTAAAGCTTTAGTGTGTAATTTCTATTATCATCACTAAATGGAAGGTCAAAAATAACTGTTTTCTAACAAGTTTTCGTCTCAAATTTACACCATTGGTTGAGCTGTAGATTTTCAAGATACTCAAACAAGTGTTTGAAAGCACCATCACAGAGCTCTCACTTTTCAGATAAATAAACCTACATATGGCTTACTTACAGTTGTCTCTGCATATTAAAAAGTAATAGGAGAAACCATTTTAATGTATTACAGAAATAAATTACAAGCTTCAGCTTTAAACAATGGAAAAGCAGGCAAGGTGTAGGTAAGAAAAACATCCCATTAGAAGATAGAAAATACAATTTTGTTAAATATCAAAGAAAATAGCTGTAGATCCAGTAATTTAAAAAAGCCTGTTCTAGAAAAAAAAGAAAAGTGGTAAATCAAGGGTGAGGTCTATGTAAAGCATGCTCAAGCTTGTTGGTCAGTCTCTCTGAATTGAAATTACACACGTACTACCAAAAATCAGGAGAGCTATGCATGATACAAAACGTATAACAAACGATCTGTGCATACAGGCTAAAAACAACTGAATAAATGAGAACACTATATGAAAAAATCTAAATAATAGTTAAAAAAAAAATATATATATATTTTTTAAAGATTACTTAGAAGGATACAGAATGTTTATTTTTGGACCCATTGATAATGGCCAGGGGGAAAAAAATGGTAGGACTCGAAAGTGAAGGGATAAAAAGGATGATAATGAAAAGAAGATTTACATGCTGAAGAATACATACCCTGTTTGGCTACAATCTCGATAGGGCAGGACAGAAAAAACACTATAGAAGGATCTTCTGCCACTGAGAAGGACTATCCTATAAAGACAAAATGATACATAAACTAATTGAAGTGAACTCTGTCAATATAGAGGTCAGGACCACAGGCAAAGATGAAGAGATACACAGTAAATAACTGATATGAAATAGTATGTCATAAATTATGTAGGAATGTATCTGGGAATATGCAACAAAGATCAGAAGAAAACAAAAAGAAAGGCAAATTGCTTATAAAAAACAATCTTTGAAGTAAGTTAAAACCTGATTGAGACCACTGAGAACTGAACATGTTTACAAACAAACAAAGGACTGTTTACAAAGGATATTCTGCCAAGGCTTTTCAAGTTCTTATATTTCCTTTAGAAGTTCATCAACTGCTAATAACTGATCTAAAACACAAAATAAAAAATATGTTGGATCAAAGTACAGCCAGAAAAAAAAGCTTTCTGACACATCAAACACTGCAGTTAGCTTTACAAAACAAAAGTCAGCGTCTTCATTGGAAGACTGCAAATGTGTGTATTTTATGGATTTTCTCAAAAGCCCAAAGGAAAAACTAAGCTGGTCACCACCTCTTGTTTTCAAAAACACCAATTCAAAATTCCATTCAGATAAAAGAGAGCATCTGGCTAACACTCTATAATCAATTATAAACAAACAAACGAAGTGAACTCTGTCAATATAGAGGTCAGGACCACAGGCAAAGATGGAGATACACAGTAAATAACTGATATGAAATAGCATGTCATAAATTATGTAGGAATGTATCTGGGAATATGCAACAAAGATCAGAAGAAAACAAAAAGAAAGGCAAATTGCTTATAAAAAACAATCTTTGAAGTAAGTTAAAACCTGATTGAGACCACTGAAAACTGAACATGTTTAAAAACAAACAAAGGACTGTTTACAAAGGATATTCTGCCAAGGCTTTTCAAGTTCTTATATTTCCTTTAGAAGTTCATCAACTGCTAATAACTGATCTAAAACACAAAATAAAAAATATGTTGGATCAAAGTACAGCCAGAAAAAAAAGCTTTCTGACACATCAAACACTGCAGTTAGCTTTACAAAATAAAAGTCAGTGACTTCATTGGAAGGCTGCAAATCTGTTTATTTTATGGATTTTCTCAAAAGCCCAAAGGAAAAACTAAGCTGGTCACCACCTCTTGTTTTCAAAAACACCAATTCAAAATTCCATTCAGATAAAAGAGAGCATCTGGCTAACACTCTATAATCAATTATAAACAAACAAACAAAAAAACACTAATAACATGCCCCAAATATTTGGGTTTTAGAGAGTGTCTGCTTCAACTATCAATTTTAAATACCAGAGGGTCAGTTAGAGATAAAAATACCACAAACACACACACACACACACACTGATGAACATCTACATAAGAGTAACGACAAACATCATTTCCTTTTCCAGGATCTACAACTTCAAGTGGTCTTGTTTTTTTGTTTTTTTTAATGTATTATATACAAATGGCATGACCTTATAAAATTGGAAGAAATTTGATGGTTGCAATCAATGTGCATGATTATCCAGGGAAAATTTCATCAAAAAGGGGAAAAAATTAGCAAATTTCTAAATTAATTTCAAAAGTAAAAAAAACCAAAACAAACTGAGAACCAGGAAAAATCTTTTAATAAATTCAGGGGGAGTCTTTTGCTGAAACACTTGATGTGTGGGTGCTGTTCTCTGTGAGATGTCTGTGTGTGGGTCGTTGGCTAGCTGTGAGCATACCTTCCATTGCGCATATCATGTTGTCTTATGTTTTTGATGAAATGGACCTTCTTGAAACTCTTTGGTCTGGGTGAACCAGATAAAGTTCGGCATCTAGTAACAAAGCAGCATCAACACTGTTCATTAGAGAAATAAATACAACACGGTTCATTAGAGAAATCAATACTGATTTTCTTATGGCTATATATATATACACTGTGTATATATAATATATATATATATATATACACACACACACACACACACACACACACACACGCATATATATATATATATATATACACACACACACACACTATAGTGCAAATCTCATCTAATATGCTAAATATAAGACTGCACTGAGATACTATTCTTAACATTAACATTATGATTTTCAGTAAAGCTGCTCTGAAACAACGTGTATTGTGAAAAGTGCTGTATAAATCAGTTTTTTTTTACTTGACTTCTGACTTTGTGTTTTTCTTACACTTACTGCTATTGTTTTTTACTCTTAACAATTTTTTTATTTACAAGCTTTATTCTAGTGTAACTAACTTCAAGCACTGTTAGTAAATCAGAATACGTCTGAAGAGACCGGTCTTGTTAAAGAGTAAATAAAACAATGGTGTTAAACATAAACTATGTGCAAAATCATTCTGAACAGCACTAAAATTACTTTTAATATATCACTTTTATAGTGCAAATCTCATCTAATATGCTAAATATAAGACTGCACTGAGATACTATTCTTAACATTAACATTATGATTTTCAGTAAAGCTGCTCTGAAACAACGTGTATTGTGAAAAGTGCTGTATAAATCAGTTATTTTTTACTTGACTTCTGACTTTGTGTTTTTCTTACACTTACTGCTATTGTTTTTTACTCTTAACAATTTTTTTATTTACAAGCTTTATTCTAGTGTAACTAACTTCAAGCACTGTTAGTAAATCAGAATACGTCTGAAGAGACCGGTCTTGTTAAAGAGTAAATAAAACAATTGTGTTAAACATAAACTATGTGCAAAATCATTCTGAACAGCACTAAAATTACTTTTAATATATCACTTTTAAAGTAAAAAGGTTTACATAATGTTAACTGAAAGAACAATCAGATGGGTTACCCAAGCAATAATTGATTTATCACAATCTGTCAGAAGTACACCAGCATAACCAACCACTCTGTGGGCCTCCCCTGACATGCTCTGGCACCCCACACATTGAAAACCCCTGCACTAGTTGGTAAGTGGCCTGAGTCTTCAGTGCACTTGTTAGTGTCACCCTAGGCGATGATGATCACATGATCACCATAGCAAGAGGAGGATTAATCATAGGCACCTGTCTGTAATTAATGCTCATCAGAGGATAAGGCACATCAATATGTCAGTAAAGTGAGCTTCAACTCCCACGTTTGTCTTTCATGGACTATCCCAGGAAACAACTAAACAAGGCCACTTCATAAGCCCAAGCCCCCACACTTGCCTTATAAAATAACACCAGAGAGCACCAAATCCAGCACAGGCTGCCTACAACAACAACACCCTAAATTTATTCTACATGACTATCTAAAATAAACTTCCCTCCAGTGTAATTGAACCGCTGTTGGTTTTGTGTCATTCTTCACAAACAACTTGGCCCAAAACATACTCGATGGTAATACTAGAATGCAATGCTTCAAGCTATAAAAGCTTGATTTCATGTGCTGTTGTGTTCCAAAAAGTGTCAGAACCAAATTCGAAACAAAACGGAACTACACGGTGCTTTCTCGGCTTGCTGAAAGAGGGTGCTGTATTAGTGTCTACAGTAGGTGCATCCCGATCCGATTCATACACTTATGAACTATTCAACACCATTTTGTAGTAGTGCAAATAGTGTTCACATTCTCATTTTTTAATGAGGCATGGTGCACTACAGGTGCAAAAAAAAGAATATCATATACTTTATACATTCAAGTCGCAGCTTCCCTGAAGAAATGACAGATACATGTATTAAAGATAGCGGCAGCACATCAGGTGCATTTTAATTGTAATTTTCTTCAAATGGAAAACTAGCAAAATGTATATACTCCACAACAGTTGGAGGGTTATTGGTTAGTGCACAGTACATCATTTGATCATGGAACTAATTTTCCTTTTCAGTTCAACTACTGTCAAGTTAGTAAAATATCAACAAGTTAAGCTACTTACCTAAGTACTTGCATACTTATGTGTTTCAGGCCTTAGAGTGTTCTTTCATTAAAAACACCACAAAACTACTATGTTGAATTTTGCTTTTACAGAGAGGAATCAAAACATCAAAAGCTCATCTCAGTTTCAAAAGTTGTCTGAATCTTTGATCTTAGAGGATTGAATGAAAAACAGCTGAGTGTTCTGGGTGATTATGCACCATTGGAATGGTCAGAAAACAATGGTCATGACCAGACCAAACTAAATGACATCAATTCACAACATGTCTAATGTTTATGAAAGGCTTTTTTACAAGGCTATAGCAAAGACTTATTCTCACAGTTGATCTATAGCAGGAATTACAAGTGTCATCCACTGATAGTCAAAGCACAGAAGTTATTGTATTGGGCCTTTACCATGCAAAGAGTAACTTTCTAAACACGAGGTTACTCGTTTGTGAACTTGACTCGTAACAGCAGTAAAATCTCACTTTATGCCATTTTTCACCATACTGATGAATCCACATATGCCATCCTTTATTCCTGTCACATCTGCTTGCCATTACACAACAGCATTCCCTTTACCTCAATCCTTAAAATACCACCGTTCATTGTTTTAAGTAACCGGTGGGATATAATCCTGTAAAAGTCCTGTGTTCCTAAAAACTCTCAGGAAAAAAAACAGCAACAAGCCACAGCAGCCCTTTTTTTTTTTTTAATCATGCCTTGGCCTGAATTTGCCTGGTCGCAATTCCTACCACATCCGATACTGGTTTTAAGTTCTGGTTTAAAACCTTTTCCTGACTTCATTTATTTCACTGGGAAAAAATGCCAGCATAATCTCTCAGCAACGCCAGCTAACCGCATAACACAAAAAAAGGACATGGTCCATCCAAAACTTGACTCGTTTTAATGGTTATGGATAATGGTTATCATCCAAAAATGAGTCTGGAGGAAAATGTCAATGTTTTGTTAAGAATAAATTAGGTGCAAAGCTTAAAATATACCAAAATATTTGGAAAAAGAAAAACGATGATATTTAGGACAAAGTACATAATATAAATAATGTTTTTTCTCTCTTTCTCATTCATGTACTCTAAAATGAATTTACAGTGTATTCTGGGCTATTAGTTGCTGTATTTTAACAGTAACTTTTATAGTAGTAGTTCTACAATTGACTTCATAATGGAAAAGAGCAGGAAATGATGTGAACACAGTGATTAGCTATGCCCTAGTTTAAAGTAATCTTTTAAATGGTTAAATAATTGTGCCGTGCTCTTTTATTATATTATTTTGTGCCAATTTGCTGTCATTGGAAATGTGCAAAATAATTTTTTAATCTAAAATGATGCCTGTTGATCAATCATTAAAACAATTTTCTCCAAGCCTTGTAACAAATTGTGTTCTGTAACACTGTTGCACTAGCTAGGATAAAAATAATTCAAAGTAAATTAGGTCCATGTTTCCAACCAAAGGCTACAGAACACTAATCCCCATAATGGAGACTGTATAACAAGTGTGAAAAGACATTCTCACTACCAACTCGTCACATATTGACGCTTGGTCAGGATCCCTTGGCATCACTTTTTGACGCACAGGATACCCCTTTAGCATAATTTTTCGATGTGCAGGGACCTCCGTTGCTTTAAATAAGAAACCACAGGCATCAGTATGCCAACGCGAAAGGTACTGGGAATTTTATCGTCATGATTAAATTATATATTGGGTAATAATATTGCCAGTATTGCATATATGTTGGGGTGTGATTTTTCAATGTAAACAGTCACAAGAGTTTTATACTATTTACACATTTATGAGCACGTAACCCAACCCCTGCCCCTAATCCTATACCATTTGTCAATAAAACACAATATATACCAGGCAGATACAACTACCGTCAAAATTTATTCAAGAAGTATTAATATTCCAAGTCTTCCGAGGCAAAACGATTCATTTGTGAGAGGAATAGATGCGTATGCAGTCTGGGCACAAATTAAAACAATGCCGCCAGAAGAAGCCTTACGTCTGCCTTAGTTGTGAAATGTTATTGGCTCTTGTATGTCTCGTGACCGATTGCGACATGCTACCGGAGTATCTTTTTGAATGAGATGTGAGCGCGTTAACGGAGTGGGATCATTTTCAGTGATTAAAACCTTATGTTTTACTTTCTTCTTCGCATAAAGACATTGCATGGCTTCAGAAGACTTGGAATGCAACACGACTTCTTTATACTGCTTGTTTATGGTCAGTTTTTGCAATAAATAACGCTACCTGTGATTGCACTCATATTTGCCTGTTACGTGTTTTATATTGTTCAGAAGTGGGTAGGTTTAGGATAGGGGTGGGGTTAGGTGCTCCAATGAAAGTATACATTTATATAAAATTATTTCTGTTTTTTACAAATCGATGCAAACCATTAAATTAAGACAAACAACTGAAAACAATAGCGGACTCTGCACGTCGTAAAATTACACCAAAGTGGTACCTTGAGCGTCAAAAAGCGATGCCAAGTGGTCCTGACTAAGCATCAATATGTGACGAGATAGGAGTGAGAACGTGTTGCATATAGTTACTTTTTTCCCCCCACAGTAAAATGGAATACGGTATTATAGTGTAATATAGCTAGACCCTTGAAAATTTTATAGCCCTCTACTTAGTTGTCTTGGAGAACTTTGCAATTGTAAGGCAAGATTAAAGTCTGCACCAGAAAAACACAGGCTATTTGCACAGATGTATAGCCACCCATTAGAGCTCAGGAATTACATAACACCACACTCTTCACACAGTTAGACCTGACTGAGTTGCAATAATGCTTTTGTCTGGGCCGCCCAATCAAGGCAGACTGTAGTTTAACAGAAGGCCCTGAAGAACAGGATGATATAGGGTGTGTTTGTGTACATTTTGTTCTTGAAGGCATGTGCCAGCACATGAGAGACAGAACTACATTGCACACTCTCTCTTCACAGGCTGCTCTTGGCAGTGCTTCTAAAGGTTTTGGTCTTCCTGGTGGAAAGTGGCAGCCCATGCAGGAGGGGGTCTAGGAGAGGAAGTGGAGGTCAGAGGCAGGGAGTGGAGGAAGGGGGAGGGGGAGTCAGGGCAGAGTCTGGGCATCCTGCCTGGAACCCGTGTTTGTTTCTAGCAGCTGCCCATTTAGAACAAGTCCTACACTGTTTAAAGCTCAAGTATGTAATGTTAAAATACGTTCTCCTATCTGAACTTAATATGCAGAGATGACTATAAAAAAATCAGTGAAATTTACTGTAAAAAACAGCAGCTATAGCTGCTAGAATTTCCCCTTAAAAATAAGGTAGCAACATTTTAGCTTTTACAGAATTAATTTACAGTTTAAAAACAAAATGAAAATATATACTATATTTAATTTACTGCCATAATGTTAATATACCAAGCTGCTGAAGAACTAAAATAGCTTTGTATCTTTATATCACCAAAAACACAAGGGATAACGAAAAGGCCACATGTACAATCAAAGGTAATCCCAAGTGCTGGCGAACTTACCCTTTAAGAAAAAGTACACACGTGTGCAACTGATCAAAATCGGCATATTAGAGTGGCAATACAGCTGTCCTCACAACAAATAAAGTGTACTAAGACATTGCAAATCATCTTGAAGTAAAACGAAAAATGTATTTTCAGAATAGGCATTACAAATAAAGTGTTCTGGCATTCTCTGTAAGTGATAGCTGACCCTTAAACTTTATTTATTTGTTTATTTATTTATTTGATTGTTTTAAAGTACCCCAATATAGTAAGAATAATTCAGATATATTACATTTGTCTGGAGTCAAACCACTTCATTTAGATGTTGGGACATTTTTTGACCCAACTCTGAGTACATTGCACAACTAAACCAACAGGAGACATAATTACTGTGAAATGAAGCAAGAATTAGGTTTCAGGTCAGTCCAGTGCCTGTCAGTACCACAGTGAAGCACTAAAACAGTTCTTGTCATGAGAAAACAGTTGTGCATAACATAATTTTTCTGTAATATATTGTAAGTCCATTTTGGGTCCCTCTTTCCTTACAAACACCAAAGAAAACAGTGCATTCATTGCGTGATATCTATATTCACGAAAACATTCCCTGCTGTCTCTCTGGCTCCAAAACAAAGCAACTGAACAAAGGGCATCCAACTTGCATGCATGGCCTCTAGTGTCTCAAATTACAGCATGTTCATATGTTCACATTAAAGCACTCAAAGCAGGTGCAGAAGGTGTGTGTGTGTGTGTGTGTGTGCCAGCAGCTCGGGCACAGCTGAGAGCCTGGTTCGCTGCTGCGGCCAGTGCCTGCTGGCCCACTGCAGAAACCAGGCTCTGTCTAGTCCTGGGGCTGTCCTCGTCCTCGGTCTGATTCTCCCCGTCATCCTGCACGGGTCGTCCGTCCAGAGAGATGTTGCTGAGGAATGAGAGTGCAGCTTGTCTCCGTCGTGGATCTATTACGCGCTTCCGTGTGTGCTCCAGACTGGAGGGCTTCATCTGCAGCGCGCTCGCCATTAGCCGTGGGATAGTGCGTGTTTGTCAACGGAGAGGGTTCATAGTGATTGTTTGGATATAGGGTGAAATTGGTGGTCAAAGCGCCATGCGCTGGCTTTTAAGTGCCTGCTGTGTTTTACTGTGTGTGTGTGTGTGTGTGTGTACAGAAAAGCTGGGTCACGTGTGTGCAGTATTGTGGCAGCAGGAGCTTTAGTCTGACCAATGGGGATTCATGAGAACAAGACGGTGTTCCAAAACATAGCGAGTCGCCTAACTAGACAGCATTCGTAGCGCTTTTTGAATTGACTTCAAAATGTTCGAGAGCGGTTTAGTTCATTTAGCTGAACGGATTCTGAGCACGCCCTCGGTGCGAAAAAGGCTGTCTACTTTAGGCGGCTCAGTACGTTTTGAAACACAGCCTGCGTGTTTTTCTCCTTGCCTTCATTTTTGTTCCGCCCTTCTGGGCTACTTGGACAGGACATTCAAAATTACATAAAAGTAAACATTTTAGGTAAGAACAGTCCGAGGTAGCACGAGATCTTGATTAGATATCGTTATTGTGCGTTCAAATAACAGTTCAATTCACCTCAGACAACTAGAAATAGACCTTAAGGCTTTTAAACATTTAATATGTATTGATATTTACTTGGGTAATTTGACATAGCTGTACCCTTGCCAGGCTAAAAGTAGCTTTAATAGACTGACACGCATTCATGGTAAACGAAAATATAGGTACTGTTCTGCCATTTCTATTGAAATGTGTATGTCATTTGTAATTACAAAAGTGCACTTGACTGTGTTAGGAAATATAGTCATGAAGTACGCTACAAGCATAGTATATTTAAATGGGAAGCTTGCAGACCACCTTGGTTTGGCAACCATGTTCCAAAACATATTTAAAGGGGTCATATGATGCGATTTCAAGTTTTCCTTTCTCTTTGGAGTGTTACAAGCTCTTGGCGCGTAAAGAAGATCTGTAAAGTTGCAAAGACTAAAGTCTCAAATCCAAAGAGATATTCTTTATAAAAGTTAAGAGTCAGCCACACCTACCTAAAACAGCTCGTTCTAACACGCCCCCACATGTCTACCTCACTATGTGGGAAGATTTGCATAACGCCGCCCAAATGTTCACGCAAAGAAAGAAGGCGTAACTTTTATTCTGGCTGTAGTATTGTTGACGCTGCAACCATGTCGTGAAGACGCTGTGTGCTTCTTTGTTTGTGAGGGGCGTAACACGCTTGAGGAATTCGGCCAATCACAATGCACTGGATAGCTGGCCAATAACAGCACACCTCGCTTTTCAGACCGATGAGTTTTGTAAAAATCGATGCGTTTCAGAAAGGCGGGGCATAGAGGAGAAACAATAATGTACAGTATGTGGAAAATAATGTGTTTTTTAACTTTAAACCGCATAAACATATTTCATTACACCAAATACACCAAATTATGTTCTTTTTAGCAGCATCATATGACCCCTTTAATATTTAAAATTGGATCGTCCATCTGGGTGGCCCTATGATGATTTAATAACTGAACGTCACACACATGAATATAAAAAGACTGTGTGAGTGTTATGGATTCCTCTTTTACCTAGCTAAGCTGAAATGACGAAACTCCACATGATGGCACAATTTATTACAAGAACAAACGTTCACTGACTGTAACTTCCTAGTTGCCCTAAAAGACTGGCTGTTTTTTTTAAACAGTCTGTTTAATAGCAGTTATTTTCAACATCACTACGCCATCTAGTGGTTAATCAAGTTATATGCAATATGCCTAGAAGTTATGTGGCGATTAAAGAATGAGTTCTTCAAGGTGCTCACTAGATGTCGCCAGAGTTTAGCCTAAACCAGGGGTGTCCAAACTCAGTCCTGGAGGGACACACCTGAACCAGCTAATCAAGCTCTTACTAGGCATACTAGAAACTTAAAGGCAGGTGTGTTGAGGCAAGTTGGAGCTAAACTCTGCAGGACACCGGCCCTCCAGGACCGAGTTTGGGCACCCCTGGCCTAAACGTTCAAATTATACAGTGTATATATATATTTTTTACCCAAATAATGGTGCGAGTGAGATAGAATCCAGTGATGAAATGAATGAGGGAGGTGCTATAAACCAGTGATGAAATATTTGAGATTCAAGTTAATTTGCCGTTTGTAACAGATACTCAGGAATTCTTTCATAAAGAGGCGTTTATGAAGGAAATTAAGTGAACAGACTGTGGTGCAACTTGGGAATATTGCGGTTTTTATATCATGTACACAGCTAGTTACATGTGAGGATAGTTCCATCTCAAACAGTTTTATGAGCTCGTATAAACTGGGCGACTACATGGAATATTTGTACTTTAAAAATAATGTCATTTGGTCAACTAAATGAAGTTGATTGCTGTAAATGTGGACTACAACATCCATACTCCAGTAACAGTGGGTGGTCCCTTTGCTCTGTCATCTGGTCAGATTTCTTCCCCACAGATAACCTTCCTCGGTCAGAAGCACTCAGGTCAATGACATTATTCTAACATGCTGAGTTAACCATGCTGTGGTAATGACAGATACTCAAGCAAAGAAATACGTAAGCAGCTCCTTCACCACAGAGGCTGTTTAGTGATGTTTTTTTCCAGAAACTGCATATCAGCCATGGTTTTCAGAGACAAAAAAGTTGTAAAGACTGTTGTGTTGGACGGACAAAGCCAAATATCGGCATTAAACATCAATAAAGCAAGACTTTCACTTTCCACTCCTAATTTGACAGATCCTCAATTGGTTGCGCGTTCGGTGCTGTTTTATTACTTCCTCAGTCTCATAACGCACCAAAATAACACAACTTTTCACAGTGTTTTTTTGAGGCTGAGCTGTCATGAGCAACAATAATGTAACTCTCGGCCAGGTTAATCTTATCCCAAAATCAGTGGAGCAGAGCACAGACCTCAGACTCTCTGTCCCTGTGTGTGAAATGCAGCACTTCCTGTGTTTGTGTGGGGTTTCCTCCCCCTCAAGTGATTTTGGCACCTTATTGTGAGTCATGATGCACACTTCACGTTGATTTGAGGAAAAAAACTAAAATATCGCTGATGGTTTTCTGACAGCAGATGGTTGGGGATATGAAGCTGGAATAACTGGGATCTTGTGGAACTGAAAGTGAAAGTGATTTATCAGAACTATCAGTCTGTTCTTATCAGTTGGGTTCAGGGAGCAAAACGTGATTCATGCGATGTGACTATAAAGTTTATTTTTAAATACATTTGTTTTGGGAGTGACTAAGAAATTTAGGAGTCACATGATATCAATCAGTTTTGTTAGAAATGTATGTAAGTCGTTTTTAATAAGATACCAATGTAAGTGGTGTTTTATATACTTTCAGGAGCTTAATCGGAGTGATGGATAGCTGCTTCTGCCCTAACGTCACCCAGTCTGACGCTGAGCGTTCTTGTTGTTGCTTCTCTGTGGTCAAGAGGGCAGAGGTGGCCGGGCAGAGGGAGATCTGCGGTCAGATCGTAGGATTGATGAGTGTGTTTCTAGGGGGAACTGTGAGGAAGTCCATCTCCAGCCCACCCGTGGGCCACAGCAGCCCCACATCAAACAGACCAGCTCCACTGTGATGTATGGCGGCTGCGCTGCACTTTCAACCAGAGTCGAGAAGGTCCATCAAGGGATTTATCTCAAGGGAGGATGAAAGGAGAAGCAGAGGCGTCTGCCAAACAAAGACTCATGGGGGCCAACAGTACAGGTCAGGCCTGGCCCTCAAACTGGAGAGATTTATAGTAGTCCACTTTAGCTGAAGACACATTCTGGGCAGAGATGGGTTGAGTGGATACTAAATATTGGAAAAATATCGATAATATAAACATTTGTTTATGCAATACTTTTCCCCAGACTTTTCAATAATAAATGGGTTATTGATGTGACTAATGAAAATTGTATCACTGTATCATACACAATTTCTAAGTCCTCTTAGAAAAAATAAATATCTTGTACACAATATATTACATGCTTTCTGATTGGTGCTTCATACCTTTTTAGCAAGTAAAATCCTTTTAATATCATTCTAAAACGTCTCTCTTCCGGTTGTGGTACGCATGCCTTTTTGCTGTTAAATCTTTACTGATTTTTTTGGTTACACTTTATTTCGATAGTCCACTTTAGACATTCTACTAACTATAAGTAACTTTGTAACTACATGTCAACTACATGTCAACTAATTCTCATTAATTTGCATCTACATGTCTACTAACTCTCAGAGTAGACTGTTTGGGTAGGTTTAGGGTTAGTAGAATAAGTTGACAAAGAAAGTGTTAGAAGATATTAAGCTGACAGTCTACTAATACTCTACTAACTGCTAGTTGACATGTAGTTGCAAAGTTAATAGAATGTCTAAAGTGGACTATCGAAATAAAGTGTTACCATTTTTTTTACTGAAGTAAATGGAAGAATACTTTTTTATATTGTTAATACGTTCATTTGATTTTTATAAATTTTTTACCATTTACTTGATTAACCATTTATAATTTATAAGAAAATTCATGTTTAAAAAGTCAGTATCAAATATGATACTTGAGGATTTTGAGGAAAGTTCATTTGTACTCAAATATCTCTCAGTCATCACTGTATTTCATTGCGTTATGTTTTGCCCCCACAATAAAATCTAAAGAGCTTCGATCATAAAACTAAGCATTTAAATATCATCTTACTTATAATCACTGACCTCTGATATTTATATACTTTGGCCATATAAATATCAGCAACTGCACCAAATTGTACATTTTTGCTCAGTTTGTGCCTCTGAATACAATTAAGGTGTTTATTTGCCTGTATATATATATACTTATTCTGCATGATGATATTCTAGATCCCTTAAGCCAACCCAATACCTAAACTACTACCTTACTAACTATTAATAAGCATCAAATTAGAAGTTTTGAGGGAAAACTCTTAGTTAATAATGAATATGTGTTCCCTAATCTAAAATGTTACTGGATAATCATTTTTGGGGGTCTGTGGCATATAAAAAATGACAGATTTGACAATGTAGGCCTACATGAGTATAGTTCTCCTTTCAAGGCAAGTACAGCACATATTTAATTGCATGGTAAAAATAATAATAATAATAAAAAAAAGCTCAATAGCACTAAAAAACAGCATATTTCAGGTTGGTCCATCCAATGTGTGAGTGTGGAGTTTGGCATTAGCATGTTTCTAAGCTAACAGCTGTTAACAACTAAAAGAGATTTTAATTACAAATAACTATTTTTATACATCGTTTTTATATGTATAGCCATATGTTTACATTGCCATCTTGGATATATTTCTGAATTTTAGCACATTCTAGAATTGCCTTCCTACTAGAATTGCCATCACACTCGAATAAGCCAATGATACTTAAAAATTCTATCTCTGTATGCAGCTGACTAAGATTTGGACAGAGCTATATTGTCTCAGTGTGAGAAGGTACAGCAGAAATGATCTGCCCAGAATGTTTCCCATGCTCCATTAATTTAATATCACTTGCTCCACTTCAGTTTTCTAAAGTTGTTTATCCAAGTTATTGCCTTTAAAAGAGATGTTCTGGCACCCACTTTCACTTTGCGTTCAAGAAAACAACACACATTAGCCACTGGCTGGACACATGTGGACACATAGTGACACTTGTAGAACAAAAACACCTCATGTTTCATACAAGCCCCTTTTTGGGGAAAAGAGCTCAACCCAGCCTTACTGTTTGGCGAATATTTTAATTTCAAGTAAAATGAAGGATGGCAGGATAGGGACACTGGATGAAACAATAAAGGGCCACGATTGGGGCCACATTTGGGTGGCTAAGAGGAAACATGATGGAGGATTTATGGGGGAAGTCCGAGGTGAAAACAGTAGCAGCCGGTTCATTGG